ACAACACATTAAAAGTATGATACAGTATGACCAGTTGGGGCTTACTCCTGGGATGTCAGGTGTTTCCACATATGCAGATGAATAAATGAGATGTGCTTCACACTGCTGTGGCTGCTCAGATCAAAGGATCCAGCCCCACAGCCTCGGCAGGATACAGGCTCCTGTGTTTCTCCTGCCTTCTGGCCTTGTAGAGAAACAAGACCGTTGCTACCGTGGTTGCCCCAACCTGGAGACCCAGAGCAGTAGCCTTGAACGTCACTACATATTCAGTCCTCCACCCTTCTGTCTCCTCTTCCTGAACTGCTCCTGCCTCAGTCTCTCCCAATCATGACCCACCCTGGCGGACACCCAGAACAACATCCGGGCATTGCCCCTGAAGCTGCTGCACACATTCCACAAGCAGCTGTACAGGTAAAGCTGTACACCCACCCCAAGCTGACCTGGGGGGCAGCATGTCATCAGACAGGATCTGCAGCTGTCTGTGCGTACACTTCTCCAGCCCGGCTGCCATGTAGTTAGGCACACAGTCTAACCTGGTAGCATCACACTCAGATTTCAAATTGTATTACATACACAAAAGTCAATTCAAAGTGGATCAATAAAATAAGACATAACAATAAAACTCCTAAAAGAAAACATGGAGACTAGCTCTTTGCACTTATATAAAACAATTTTTTTGGCAACAAAAGTAATATCTAAAGTATGTAAAAAATTTACTCAACTCAGTAACAAAACTCAGCAATGACTCAGTAAGAACAACAAAATGCTGATTTTAAAGTGGGCAAAAAACCACAATATTTTTAGAAAGAAAATACAACAGGTGTAAGAAAACAAGCTCACCCTCACTCATCAGCAAGGAAGTGCAAATCAAAACCACAAAGGATTAGCGTAGTGCTCTATGACCTGTGGCTTTGGTCCTCAGTATCAGTAATCTGTAATCCACTGTGGTCTGAACACATTACATGGACAGTGCCAGAAACAAGCAGTTTATATCTTTTAGCTGCGTGCAACTCCGAGCAGCAGGATGAAGTCTTGCTCCATCACGAGGGGACATGAGCCACCCTTTCGTGCAGTGCACCCATGTGGTCTGTGCTGCCTGCCCAGCTGTCGCCCAGCAGCCATTCCAGCTGTCAGCTCGACTGCTGCACTGTTTCAGTACTTGTGTCCAAGCGACACTTATTTTTCTTAATAATGGCCTTGGTGTGCCAGAGGAGGAATGCTAGCAGTTCAGAATGAGAGGGGAATTGTGAAGGATTTCTTTCACATGAAAGGTGAGGTTTTCAATGTGATAAGGAAGTAGAAAAAAGTCATGTGCTGTAGTTTTTCACATCTGTGGTAGAAGCAAATCTATGAAACTATGAAGAAATGATGCTAGTTTACTGTCACATTTCAAACTGTAAAAGTTATGGTCACAGTGCGTGATAAGTACTTAAAAGTTGAAAAGGTATGGAATATGTGCGCAGGGAAAAACATGGTGTATACAGGATTCAGTGCTCTGTGATTATCGCTTCTCAGCCTTTTGGCTAAGATCAAGTGTAGTGCTCTGTGATTTCAAGTACAGCATCCACTTGGAGTTGAAGAACATGTCCTTTGTGACAAGGGGAGAACACTGTATCAACTCACACTTAGTAAGATGGTTATTACCAAAAATACAAGAAAGGGTCGGTGGTATAGCTCAGCGGACTAAGCACTTGCTTAGGTAAGCGCAAGGGCCAGGGTTCAACCCCAGGCACCACATGCCACACTGGCCCTGCCCCCAGGCATGCTGAGCTGGCAATGGAGTCCAGGCGTGGTGGCGCATGCCTGTAATCCCAGCACTAGGGAGGCAGAAATCAGGAGGATCACTATGAGTCCAAGCTGCGTAGTGAGACCCTGCACAAAAAAAAAATCCTTAAAAAAAAATACAAGAGATAAACATTAGTGAGGATTTGGAGGAACAGGAAAACCTTTGTACACTGTTGGGAGAAATGTAAATTGGTATAGGTATTATGCAAAACACTATGCAAAAACTACTATTATAAAAAATGTACAAGTACCAAGTGCAGGCACTAGTAATGAAGTTAATATACCATATTTAAATATAGCTAAGTGCGATGTTTGTCTTTTTGACCCACTGGTATGGGTTAAAAATATTTTTAAAGTGGCATTAGATTAAAGATAATCTAATACAGGGGCTGGAGAGATAGCTCAGTGGTCTGAGCACCCAGTACTGCATGCTGTGCCAGCCCCTGAAACAGGGCACGGTGGCGCATAGCTATAATCCCGGTGCTGGGCAGGCTCACACAGGAGGATCACTATGAGTCTGAGCTGCATAGTGAGATCCTGTACCAAATAAATAAATCTAATACACAGAATACACACAAATATATATATATATATATATATATATATATATATGCCTCTACAATTACAAGAGGTACTCAAAAGTGTGGCCATTCACTTCCAGAGGCTTATTGTTACAGCAAGCTTCTGTTTGGTTAACCTTGGTCACTGAGATTGCTGCACATGCATTTTTAATTTCTTCTCCAAGGCCCAGCAGTGTAGTAGGGTTTTCTGAGCTATATGGCATCCCCTAGGGTCCCCCATGTGAGGGTAACACATCTGTTGAGAAAACCTCCTACTATTCTTTCTTTGCCTGAAGTGTGTCTATATTGTTTTTGGTGGACTCTGTATATAGATGTTTCCAGTTTGCCTATAATGTAGGAAAACTGGAAAGGTATAACAGTATGAGTTTACAGGAGTTATAGAGCCATAAAATACCATGCTATCATTATCCAGAAGACCTAGGCTAACAATTATTACTAAGCAAACGCGAATCATAATGTATCTCCCAATCTGTGTGAATGAATATGCAGATGAGCATCTACGTACGCAGGGGTAAAAAGGGAAGATAATGAGAGTGCTGACAGAAGTCATTACTTCAAAGTTACGCGATAAAAGGTGATTTTGGCTTCCTTCTTATAACTTTACATGCATTCTGAATTTTTTCCACACTACACCTGTATTTCTTCAACAATTAGAAAAATAAAGCTATCTGAACTTTTAAAATTGTGTTGACAGCTAAAATGTCAAGGGGCATATTTAACAATAAAAGGTAAAATTTGTGTGGCTTTTTAAAAGATGAAACAAAACTTGAAGCAAGTTGTCGAGTGGTCTTCTGGGTATAAAGCCATGAAGCGCAGAGGGCTGACACACAATTCAGAGTCCAGGGCCAGGCCAGGTAGCAGCTGCTGGTGTGTTCATGCTCTGCCCTGTAAAGGGCACTCTGCTCAGCAGCTGGCACCACCAGCCACCCTTAACCACAGACACTTGCAGCTCTCTGCCAGGCCCCGATCATGGCAGCTCCTCTTCAGGGGCTGTCAAGTGACACAAGCACCACGCTAACTGCTCGACAGAAATCAAATGTAAATTGCTGAGTCGTTTATTATGAAGCCAGAGCTTTGTGGATACCTCTCACTGAACTTCACTTACTATTTCCCAAGAAAGTTGCCTAAACGTTTTTTGGGCATTAAGAAAGGCCTTGGGTTTTCATTTGCTTGATAAATTTCTACTGTGGCAGCTGATGGTATATTTTAAAAGACCAACTTGTGAATTTATATAAATAAACACACCACATGAAGAGAGGGAGTGTAGAAGGGTGAAGGTCATGGGCGTGGAAGGGGACCACTTGGGTTAAAATCCCAGCTCTGCTCATTATAAAATATAAACACTGGAACAACTACTTAGCTTTTCTGCTCCCTCATCTAAAAAACAGGCCTCAGGGCCAGGTCTAACTCAGAGGGTGCTTTCTTTATAAAGACCGAATGGATTTGTTCATGTAAAGTGCTTGGCAAAACCCTGGTACATACATGGTAGCCCCTTCATAAATGTTAGCCAATATTGTGCTTTTACTATAGACACAAGAGGTATAAGTATTTTGGATAAAGTGGGTGCGAGCATGTGTGTGTGTGTGTGTATGTGTGTGTGTGTGTGCACACATACACGTGCTCATAGGTGGTTGGCAGCAAAGGATGTTGTCATAAATTCACTCACTACCATGGACTCAGAAGACTGAACAAACTGCTTTAGTCCCCAGGTTTAGAAGACTGTTCCAGCCTCTGGGCATTTGCTTCAAGTGCCAATGACAAAGACTTGAGTGGGGGTGGGGCATCAAACAATCTGAGCTCAAATTTTCCATCTGCCCCTTCGGGGTTGTTGACCCTGGGAAGTCATCCAGTGAATCTCCTTTATGAAGAGGGGGAAACACCCCTTTCTGCCCTAGGACTGCTGTGGTGCCTGCTGGGCCAAAGCTCATGACATATGCCTGTCCTGGTTCACTGAAGATAGTGGTTACATTAGTGGACACTCGGCCCAACTGCCGGCCACTCTACCTCCTGAGCATCCACCACGGACTTGCCTGAGAAACCCTCCTGATCCCTGACGACAGACAAAGCTTGAGTTTGGCTCTTCTGTAAACAAACTTGAAAGCAAGTGGAAGGCTGCCCATGCTGCCGTGGCTGGAATGAGTCCACAGAGGATGAAGGCCTTGCTCTGGTCAACGGATGTCTTCAGGAACCACATCGGGTCTCCAACTGTGCCCCTTGGTCGGCCAATGGGCACAGGAGGATTCTGCAGCATTTAACACTGTGCTTAAAACATCCACTCAACATTAAAAATCACCAAGGCCTTTTGCCAACACAGTGTGCCATGTTTATTGGGCTATTCGCAGGTAAGCTTAAAACGAGGAAGAGAAAAAAGACTAGATGCCATCAGCAGTGTCAAGAAACAAAATATTTAGCATTTCTTAGATTTGAATGTTGCATTCCACTGCAGCCGAACAGTATATAGGCAATTTGCTGACGTATCTGCAACAGGTATGATTTATTTTTTAGCAACCAGAAGCAAATACATTTAAGCAATGACTTATTTGAACAATAAGCAAACTATTTTCATGTAACAAGAACAAAAAAATCATTTATACAAATAAAACTGATACAAAATACATTAGAAAGAGAACACACATATAAAAGTCATTAAGTTGCTCAGAGCGCACAGAGGCCACAGAACACCACACCACACGGCGAGAACATTGGTGTGAACTCATTCAGTCAAGAAACTGTGTCCCAAGTTTGAGTTTCATGTTTACTGAGGTAAAGGCACAATCACTTCCACGTAATTGATGGGGAAGAATCCAGATTCCCCATGTATAATTCCTTCATACCAGTTTTCATCTATTTGGTTGGTTAATGTAATGATGTCCCCTTCTTTAAATCCTAATTCTCCTTGGTTTTCTGGATCGAAGTCATACAGACCGCGACAGCAGGGCTGGTCCATGGGAATGTTAGAACCTGTCCGCACGATACAGAGACAAAAAGCACAGGTTAACACTGCAGGCAGTCCCTGGGAAACTGGGTGCTGCAAGCAGCCAGAAGGACAAGCGGCCCTGACTCCTGCCCTCCCACCCCCAGGCCTGGCACACCTCCCTCTGGGGTCTGTTGGTGGTCTCTGGCTGCCTCATCTGACCTCTTGGGCTCAGGGTCCACCCTCTGAGCCCTCCAAGGCAAAGGACACAGGCTAAGCCCATCTGCTTGGCATGGCCACCCAGCCTGGCCTAACACCCAAGGCAGGGGCAGAAGAATCACAAGGCCCATCCTCACCCAGTGGGAACATCTAAAGGACAAGGCAAAGTGGTCATCACCTATGATGCACAGCATTGAGGAGAGCAGTCCCGAGAGCCACCATGGTTAGATAAATCTTTTTCCAGAGCTAGTGACCAGGAGCTGGACTTGGGCAGGACGGGGGCAGGAGGAGAGTAAGCCAAGTAGCAATGGGCAGAATATCCACAGACTAGCAGGATATCTTGAAGTTATTAGACCAAGCCTAGAGTTCTCAAGAACATTTGAAAATGCACTCTGTCCTAAAACTACAACATGGCAAGAGAAAGTATACAAATTTGAGAAAAGTCATCTGTAACCTACAGAGACAACCAACATAAAGCTTTCAGATTTCAGGCATCTTTGTGAATGTGTCTGTGTATATGTTTACATATAACTGTTTTCTTTAAAGCATCTCCCTGTACATAGCATGTTCCCAGACTCCTTTTTAGCAACCAGCTGCAAACTACGTCAATATAACACAAGTTCTTTAATCAACTGTTGGGAATTTGAGGTTCTTAGTCCTTTTCTGTTTTTCTTTATGCTTCTATTTTCTCCTCTTTCTTTTCCTTCCTTCTTCCTTGCTTCCTCCCTCTTTCTCTTGCCTCCTTTCTTCCTTCTCTTTCCCTCTCTTGTGGCTTTCATAACACCTTGGAAAAAAGCATGTCTAAGTTTATGCATGTATGCACACAAAAACATGCAGTTTTTCTTGAGGATAAATTCCTAGTCATGGATCTGATGGTCACAGAACATTAATCCTTCCAAGATAATTTACATTTACTGTCAATTTATTACTCTATTATTATTTTTTAAATTTTTTTTTGTATTTTTAGGGAAGGGTCTTCAGGGTCTCACTACTAGATCGCACTCCTAGTGACCTGTTTACAGCCTCCCAGGAGCTGGGATTACAGGCATGCGCCGCCATGCCCAGTCTCAATTGCCATCTCAGTGTGCCCCGGGCGCGGGGACTGGGGGCGGGGCCGGCACGGCAGGCTGGGGATCAAACCTCTGGTCCCTGTGCCTGCTTGCAGGCGCTTTCATCCACTGAGCTATTGGCCACTCCCCCATTATTATTTTAATAAAATCTTAGGAGCTCCTTTGACTGTCATATTTGATACAGACATTTCTGGCCCTTTATCTGTCACTGTGGTACAAATAATGCCATCTTATCATCATTTGTAGTGTTTTGTTTGTTGGGTTTTTTTTGTTTTTTTTTTTTTCAGATTATACTGGTGATGGGTTAACGAATGTGGTTTCTCTTTTGTTTGGGCACATGTATAGCAATTAAAGCTCTATAAGCAGGAAGATAACTGTTTATTCATTATTTTTCCACTACCATCATATAGAAATATTAAAGCTGTGTCCAGTGTTTTCCTATTAGAATGTTTACTTTTAATCTATTTGGGTTTGGGGGTGAAAAGGTAAAGCCTATTGTTTTTAATGATGCTTAAGCAATTATACCAACATAATTTAATGAATAATCCACGTTCTCAGTGGAATTCAAATACTACCTTTATATTTGTCACTTACTTAATCATTATGGGCAGTAGATCTATTTTACTTCGTTTTGTTCTATGGATCAATTTTCATAATAATACTGCATCAGTTTAAATATTATAACTTTAAAATAAATGCTAATAACTAGTAAAAGCAAATTCCTAGCTATTACTCTTATTTCAAAATTTCTTAAGCATTCTCATAAAATCATTTAACTGGGTAAACTTTTGTATAAGTGCATCTAGTTTCTCCCAAAATATCATTTCAATTTTGACTAGATCATCCATTTTGAGTATTAATTTAGGAGTTAATTGAGGATTAATTTTAGGAGTTTTTCAAAATGACTGATCTCTTGCAAAGATCACTAATTCATGTAGTATGTCTGTATTGGTAGGTCAAATTAAGTTTGTTACTATTTTAAGATTTTATATCTGTAATTTCAAGCTGAAATAATTTTATTTTGCATGTTGTCTATTTTTAAAATCCAATTTTTCTATTCATATGTTTCATGTGTGGTAAGACACTGTAGAGTTTTATCTCAAGCTATTAAAATGGTAGTGTACAAATGTCAATAGACATTTATCTATCATATGAGTAGACTTTATTTCATCTATTTTTCTAAAATATTCATATTCTGAAAATTGGTGGGGGGAATCACCCCCCACGTACTATGGGTTTCTGAACATAGGGGATTCCTAAAATAGTTTAATATAATGACTTAGTGTACCTGGGGAGGAGGTGGGGTCACCTCACTCCAGATCTGTTATGGTTTAGAATCTAAAATGTCCCTCTATTTAGTGGCTGTATCATGGGTGTGTGGTAACTGGATTAGTCCACTAGTTGGATTAGCAAAATTCGGAGTGCAGGTAAATGGGTTTACTCAAGACAGAAGACCACTTGGGTGTGAGTGGCACCAACCACTAGGCTTGTACCCTGAATGGCATAACAAGAGAATGAAAGAAGGGAGGCTGCTGCGTGCTGTTTCCTGCCTCTCCTCCCAGGGACTGCTTCTCCTCAGCCATGCTGTCCTGTTTTGGAGCCAGCTGAGTCTGTACAGAAGCCTTTTATGAACAGCCCAAATAAACCTTTCTTCATTAACTTGTGGGTACTGGGCATTTTGTAACAGGAAACAGTAAGACAAGGCGTCTGTAGTCCCTAAGGCCTTCAGCTACCCCACAGGTCCCTGTGAAGAGATAAAGGTGAGGGAGGAGCAGGAGGGGAAAGCCCCAGCCACATGAAACAGTGGCTCCCTAGAAGGGTACAGTGGCAAAGACCTCTGATGAGGACTCAGAAGACAAGACTGTCCCTCAAGAAGGAGATATAAGGAAGTTGAAAGCCACTCCAGGAAAGCTATTTTATGCTTTCCATTTATATTTCTTTTCTATTATTATGAAACCCTTTTTTCCCCTTTGGATTTAAAATGATAGTTGAAGTAAGGTCTGCTGGATATTCTATTCTGTCCTCACCCATTTTTTTATACCCAAGTAAAGCAAAAGAGTCAAAGAGGGTGTTTGGCCCCTTTGTTAATGGGTGGGGAGGGGATGGACAGGGCAGTTTTCCTGTTGGGAGGATTTTAGGATGTTGGACTTAACAGTGTAAAGTTCACTGAGTATTGTCCACTTTGCCCATTTCTCTAACCCACAGGGCATCCTCCTCGAGTGTCACCCACCCTACAGCCTTCTCACACTCAGGCAGGTCCACATGGGCCCACATCAGTCAAGGTTTGGGGTGGCATCAGGGTGGCTCCCCACTGCTTCCTCTGAGAAGGCTCTTCTGCTCAGCAGCACATCCAAGGGCCTGCCCAGTGCCCAGGATGAACCTGGCAATGACATCGGATGCCCAGGCAGTGTGGCTGGGCATCAGTACTGCCTTAAGTTTCCCAGGGCTTCGGGTGTCCAGGGGAAATGAGCAGCACAATGGACGCTCATTTATCCATGTTCCGTCCCCAGAGCCCGGAGGACCTGAAGGGCTTCAGCTGGTGGGAGAGGGAATGTGGTAGTGGTGAGAACCTTTCTCCCTCTCCTTCCCAGTGGTGACTCACAGATGGCTCACCCTGTAGCCTCTGGTCCCACTGCAGTGACCTCTAGGTGTTCCTCTGGGTGGCTCCTCCTATGAGAGGCCCTGTATCCCTCCAGTCTGTACTTCCTTTTGTCATAATGATGAAATTGAGGAGAAAAAGGATTTAAATCCTGGGGCTTAAAAGAGAACAGCATTTGAGTGATTTTGATGCAATGGGGAACCAAGAGTTCCCAGCACGGAGCCCTTTCATTGTGTCCTTTGGTCACACACTGCTTCTCTGGGTGTGGGGGGGCTGGCAGCTGAGGACTGCTACAGCTTGAGTCACTGGTCAGCAGTGCCACTAGTGTTCAGGGTCTTAATGTGGTGTATGGAAATGTTCAGCACCCTTTGAGCATTTTTCCCACTACCGGTTTTTCAGAGGAGTCAGATATGCCAAACCATAAGGGATGCTCAGGAAGTATTTCCTCAAACAGAAACTGTAAATGCCAGAAGGGACTTTGGCATCTGTCATGAAGCCTCCCCTTCTCAAAGAGATGGCATTACTTCCAAGAGGTCACGACAGCCTGACCCCTGGGCTAACTCAAAATGAGACTCCAGGGCTCCAGACCCCATACTGTGGCCTGCCTTGCTTCCTGTCACCTCCTACACAATCTGTGACACTGCAAACAGGTTCCAAAGCACATGTTGGCTATCATGCTGACTATGGGGACAACACTTTTCTCCTGACATTTATTCTACAAGCCACCTGCAGTGACCAAAGTCTATGCTAAATGGCAGGCAGTGTACTTGTGCAAGCCACCTACCTGTCACACACAGAATGCATCAGGGAAAAGGTAGGCTGCATACCTCTCACTTCTCTTCAGTCATCCCAGGCAAGCCACCACTGCCACGCTGCCCACTGTGATATTCTGAGAGCAGCACTCACGTCCCATTCCCTTAGCACACAAACACAGGGCACAGCATTTCTCAGAGACTGCAGTGGGGAGGCCTATG